ATATAATATATATATATATATAAATATATATATCCCCCCCCCAGTAGTGGGGATGGAACCCAGGGCGTCATGAATGCTAGCGTTGTTCTAGCACTGAGTTACAGCCAAGCTGACAAAACTGTATTTCTTTGAGCTGAAGTAATATCACCTTAGTCAAGCTGTACTAGCCATCTTATGCTGATTAGAAACTTTGATTGGCAGTTGGATTCCTTTGTGTACAAAAACATCACTTAATGCACAGGTCCACGGTAAGGGAGTCTATCACTGAAGAGGTAAAATTTTGAGGAATCTTGAGTTTAGATCCCAATTTGCCTGGAGGTGACAGACTGGCCTCAGGTAGCCCTCTGAAGTTCCCCTTTGTTCTGAGATTCTCGGTATGTACTCGATTTTAGGGTCTTGGGTTTCACCGTCTCACATGGAGCCAGCCACACCAGGAGACATTTCATCTAATGAGTCTTCCTGGGTCTGTTCTTTGTGGATGCCATTCCCTGCTCCTGACCATGTCATTGGCAGATGCTTTGATCATTTCTGTATTTCAGTGCATGGATTTTTATGCAGTTCAATTTCCTAACCCTAACCACAGCTGCCCAGAATGTGTAGTGTAGGCCAAAGTCGTGGGTGGGGACGCCTATGGCTGTGTAAGGAGAGACAGCTTGGGCAGAACCTACATCTGCTGGTCCCTCAGGGCCATGTGAGTGGCTCCTGTGCACCAGGGTCTCCGGGATCTCCTCGCTGTGCCACTATGGACCTTGCTGAGGCCCTCATCCACAGAGGAGCTGTTAGGGCCAGGCCTGGATGTGCAGTGGTTGGATTCAGGGAAGAATGATGGGTGTCCTGGGGATGTCCCCATCTAGCCTGTGAGGTGGAGGCCAGTGGCCTGTCCAGAAGTGTGTGTACCTGATGATGAACCAGGTGCAAGGGCAAGACTGTCTTCTGAGAAATGTCACCCCCGTGATTCTTCTGTCGCTTTAAACACTCCAGGTGGAAGGAGGCTCTTCGACCTGCAAAGGCAGCCAAAGAACCAGGATCAGGGCAACAGGAGAGGACATTGGTCTGCGATGGATGGCTCTGCTATAATGTGGACCTTAATGTCCCCAAAGGCCCATGTGTCAATGGCTTAGTCCTTAGATTGGTGCTTGTAGGAGGTGGTGGAAACCTTGAAGAGGTGGAGCCTAGTGGGAGATTATAAGTCACCTTTGAAGGGTGCTGTGGGATGTTTCTCAGTCTCTCTTCCACCTCCTGGCCAAGAGGAGGACGGTGTAGGATAGACCTCTGCCAGGATGTGCTACCTTGCCACAGGCCCTAAAGCAATGGGGCCAACCCACCATGGACAAAAACCTCCAGAAGTGAGCCCAAACAAACCTTTCCTCCCTTTGAGTTGATTCTCTTGGGAACACTGTTGCAGTAACAGAAAACTGACTGACACATCCCCAGTCGGGGTGCAACAAGCAATGTCAGTGCTCTGAGATGTAGCATCTCTTTGCCCCTCGCCTTGTCTCTGGGACATATTGAGTACTTTGGAATCTGCCTGGGCCCCTCTGGAGATTGTCTGAGCCAAGCCACACAGATTCTCAGGCATCACGGGTACCTTACCAGTGTCATCTTGGGGGTGACCACCGGCCACATCAGCAGAGCAAGGTGTGTGTTTACCTAGGGAGGCAGAGCGGAGGAAACCCCTCTTTGGAGAGGGCCGGGTGTCCCTCTTGTCTTCCTCGGGGGGTGTCAGTTGTCGATTTTCATCATCCTGGTAGGTGAGCCTGGAACAGAAGACTTGGGGTTTGTTCCTGGGCCAAGAAATGCCACCCAGCACGGGGAGCTGCTATCCCCAGAAGGCAGTTTTCCATAGTAAGGTGGACCACCCTACATTGTGCTTACTTTTATACAGGCTTAGAGAGGGTGCAGCAGAAACTTGCCGTCCTATCAAATTCTACCCTGCTTTCTGGCATCACAGGGGTTTCCTAGGCCTGCTTGTGTGTGTGTGGGGGGTTCCAGCTCCTCGCGCACAGCCCGTCTTGTGGGCCTTGCGCTTCTATTCTTCTTGTTCCGTGGCACTGGGGATGAAACCCACAGTCTTGCACTGGCTGGTTGAGTGTCTACCACTGAGCCACACCTCAGCCCTGCATCTTGCATTTCTGATCTGGGGCAGTAGCTGTGCTCTTGGACCAAAGGTATTGAGAATGCTGGGATAATTTTCCAGGCCCACAAGGTTTTTGGAGCAGCCAAGGCCCCTGTGTTTACCATGGCTATGCTCAATCTTACCCTGAATTTATCCCCCACTTCTCCATTCTCCCTGCCCCGCAAACTCCTTCATCCTCGAGAGCACATAAGCTGTTGTCTACAACAGACACAGAATCATTCAGTCAACAAAGAGCAGGGTGGTAGGAGACCTTCAGGGGTGTCCAGTCAGTGGCTTCCATGCCTTCGTGTGGTGACTCACGATGAGAAATGTATTTTCCATCTCCAGGTGTACACAGATACGCTGACCTGAATGAAGCTTCATGAGCCGTGCTCTCTGAGTGCACGCATCATGTGCTGATCACTTGTAGTCTGCATCAGTCTGTTCTATTTTATTAGAAAATGTGGGCTGCAACCCCCTAAGGTGACTCCAAATCCCCAGCAGCTTGGCCTGCAGTCAGAGAGACACAGGTGCAGTCCAGCCCTTTCGTGTTGCCCAGGAGGCCATTGACTCTGTGCTTGGTGTTACTCCTCAGTGCCGGGGATGGAACCCAGGGCCTCGAGCACGCCAGGCAGGTGCTTTAGCAGCAAGCAACTCCGCCTCCGCACCTGGCGACAGGTCTCCTGGCACCCTCACTTGCTTTGGATCTGCCCTCTAGGCAAACCTCGTCTTTCTACCTCAGGGCTTGTTCTTCTTCTCAGGCAGGAGGCACTGTGCGGTGTTCCTCCTTATCCTCATCATCCCCTCACCTGCAGACCCAGCTTCGGTTTGGCTTGCATGTGGTGCCTTCGTGGCTACCTTGCCCTGTGATCTCTGAAATTTTTTGTCCCTTGGTAGTTGCCCAGTCAGACCATGTCCATGTTGTTGCCTCCTGTGAAATCCCCAAAACTCCCTAACTACTTAGAGAACCTCCCTGAGTTTGAAGCTGGTTTACTCACGGCCAGTAGAGCCTGGATGTACCAAGCAGTCCATGAGACCCGGAGTGGATGGGAGCAATTGGCTTTCCCGATTCCCCCCATCTGTGGCCACGAGTAATTAACAGTGTCTAGAAGTCAGCTTAGAGAATGACATCTCTTAAGGAGCTCCAGATGCTTCTTTTGTTTCATACTTTGTGCCACCGAGTCAGAAAAGCAGAAGGAAGGGGTGTCATTCCTGCCGCCCTGCTTGCTGTGGGGACCTGAAGGCATAGGAGGTTAACTGACTCATCAGGTCACTGCTCGTGACCACTGCTTCCATGTTTCCCCTCATACCCTCGCTTCTCCTGTCCCACATGGGGAAAGGGAGCCAGGCCTGCTGCTCTTCAGGGCCTGCTGCTCTTCAGCCCAGTGCCCTGGGCAGAAGCTCGGACTCCAGGGAGCTGCATGCCCAGCTGGCTGTGGCCGGTTCTGGGCTAGGATCCTGCTCTGCCACCTGTCTCTCCTGCCACCCTCGCTTCTCTTCAGGAGCCTTAGAGGCTGGTCTTTCCTCACAAGAGTGCTTTCGGGAAGGCTTCTAAAACGGTGTCTGAAACCATTTTGAATGCAACCCAGAGTCATAAATACATTTTCTAAGGAGACTCGGTAGATACAGACATAGCTAGGCAGTAAAGCCAAGGTTTCACAAAACAGTTCTTACTTTTGTGACATCTGATCCATGCTGATATTTTCTATTGTCCTAGGCTATGCTATGTTTTATTTTAATTGTGCATATTTGTAGGGTACAGGGTGATTATTGTATTGTCTATTGCAGGACTGGGGACTGAACCCAGGGCCTTCACATTAAGCTATGTACCCAGCCTTTTAAAATTTTTAGACAAGGTCTCATTAAGTCATTAAATTTTGCAGGGTGAACTCGAACTTGTGATTCTTCTGCCATTTTTTTTTTTTTTTTGGTACTGGGGATTGAACTCAGGACCTTGTGCTTATGAGGCAGGTGCGGTGCCACTGAGCTAAATCCCTGGCCCCTCTTCTGCCATTTTTGCATGTATACAGTGTCTAATGATCAAATCAGGGTAAACTTTCTACCTGCTTCAAAGTTTTGATTGACATCTAATAATTGGACATATTTATGAGGCCCAGTGTGATATTTTAACATATGTGTGTGCTGATCAAATTAGGGTAATTACTATTTCCATCTCATTATCATTGTTTTTGTTTGGAGCTCTTGAGCTACTCTCATGTAGTTACTCATAAAATATGTAATTTTGCTATGTATGCTTTTGACAGTCCTGATGGTAATTGACATTTCAACAGGGAGAAAACCGGGAGCCCTGGGTTTGCCAACAGTGCCCTCTTGTGGGCAGCTTTATTATAAGCAGTTTCATAGAATTTTTTTTAAAAGTCCGTGTGTATGTGTGTATGCTGAGTCTCACTAGGAAATATATTTATGACTGTTGATTGTAGCACCAAACGTTTAAGAAACAATGTTTAGAAGTTTTCCCAGGAGCATTTTATGGTGTGGAAAGGCCACGCTGAAAGAGGATGGTGTGTTGAGGGCTTCTCCCCCTCTAATGCGACGCTTTACTGACATGAAATCTCCTCTTCCCCCCAAGTCTCGCCCACAGGAGTGATTTCAGTGACCTGGCCCTGCAGCCCCTGGGCAGGAGGCAGGGAAGCTCACATCTCTGTGGAGAGCAGGGTGGGCTCGCTGCGGTATTCAGCATTTTCATTCAGCTCCACGTCATAGGTCTTGTCCTGAGAAGCCTCCTCCTGACATACCACAGCTATCTGGCTCTCCCGGGAGTGGCACCTACAGTGTCCAAAGACAGAGACAAAGATCAGGAACTGCCAACTCTTCCTTCAGCAAGTAAGATGTCACACACATGCAGTCACATAGACAGGTGCACATGCACACACGGACGTGCACACAGACACACAGGCATGCACATGTACACACACGCAGGCTCACATGCACATAGGTACACACAGGCACAAACGCACACATGCAGACACATGCACACTCAAGGCACATGCCCACACGGACACGTGTGTACACTCAGAGGCACACGTGACCACAGTGCAGACACAACTGCCATAGCCTCTTCCTCTTGCAATCACTGAGGATGCCACGGAGTCATAGATGCATTAAGATTAGGGTTCCAGTCCCGGGTGGGAGGAGGAACTCTGGGTTAGGATCCAAGGACCTGTGAGTTCTGGGCCTAATTCACCTACCCTCTGGCTCAAGACACTTAGCTCATCCAAGACCTCAGTTTCCCCTTCTATACAACTGGAACAACACATCCCCTGCCTGACTCAGAGGCTTGTAGTGAGTGACAAATGAAATCGTAGGTAGGATGGTGCTTTGAAGGGTGGGAAGGACCCACTTTTAAAGATGGGTCTGGGCTGTAGTGTACAGGATAGGATGGGGCAGCTGAAGACGGCTGAGTCTTCGGGCATTTGTGTGACACAGCTGAGAAGCTCCTTGCACCGTACTCTGATGTGTCTTTGACTCTGACACTGGCTCCCTGACCTTCACCCCTTCATATAGAAGGGTTTGTTCTGAGCAGAGGGAAGCAAGCCTGAGTTCCTGCTGAGCCTGGGTCCTTCCTGAGCTGCAGACCCTCCCACACCAGGAAGTGCCTTAGACTGGAGTACATGCCAGTCAGAGGGAAAGATGAGATTTCGGAGGCTCTGGATGGACAGGGAGAGGGAGATGGGGTGTTCCGGCAAGGTGTGATGGATGGGCTGGTGGTGTTGAATGGCAGCTGGCAGTGACACCACTTCTGGGGGAGCGCTCAGCAATGCAGCACCAGCACTGTGGCCACTGCCCTTATCCTTGAGCTGAGACATGGAGGACAGGCTCCAGCACTGAAACTCTGGCTGTGTTTTTCCTTCTTACCTGACAGAAGCTTAGCTCCTGAGTGTTTTTGTCAGCTATAACGGGGAGGGGAGGAACTGATGTTTGGTGAGAACTTACTGTGTGTTAGGTGCTTGGTGTGTTCTATTTTACTGAGTGGCATCTATGGGGAGAAGAAATCCCCTGATGTTGGTTGGCTCCCCTAGCTCCTCTCTAGAAATCATTTTCCTCTTATTTAGTACAGAACAAAGTTTAATATGAAAATACCCTTGGAAGGAGGGAGTTTAATGTATACAGAGATACTCACGATGGACCTAAAGAGTCTTCCTTAAGAACAGGTTTTAACAAGGTTCACAAGGGAGAAAGTGATTCTAGGACTGAGTTCTCAAAGTCTGTGGGGGAGAACTGGGGTTGCAGGAAAGGGAGGGCCACCGAGGCAAGCATGGCAAGCCGCCTGAGCTTACGGCTTCTAGGCAAAGCCACCCTTTCAGATCAGCACACAAAACCCGTTGCTGAGCACACTGCCCTGGGCATACAAGGCGTCAGTACACATCTCCTGAGTGCAGGACTCCCTGCAATGCAGGGTCGGGTGGTGAAAGCAGCCCATCTTCCGGAGAATATGGTAGGCAGGATGGATGGCTAATGTGACTTGCCCGCAAATGCCCAGACTTTGTGGCCACTTGAAAATGGGTGCTACCTAGCGACATGAAACCAATGGACAAGAGTGCTGTCTCCTTGGATGGCAGCAGCTTCATTAGTCCAAGGAATTAGAAAGCTTTTACCTTGCCATTATTTCTGAGCTGGAGGGCAGGAAAACAGCCATCTGCCTCAGAATTTGGCCTACTATGGGGACCCATTCAGCCCGCTGAGGAGTGAGGGTCCTGCTCTGGGAGAGTCGCACAGTTAAGGGGGACGTGGCAAGATGCAGGGCACCAGCAGGGCACCCCACAGTGAGGGCAGGTGGGTGGGGAGAGTGAGTTAGGAGGAGAGAGAGGCACTTGACCCTAGGAGTGCTCCTGTCCTGTGGCAGAATGAGCCAATGTGACCACCTGCCAGCAGAATGTCCCCAGGAGGTGGAGCGGGGCTGTAAAGAAAAGGTGCTTCTACCCTTCCCATCTCACCTGCGTGAAAGGCCAGGTGTGGCGGAGACTTGGGCAGGAGGGAGGGGTAGCCCTTACATACGTCTTGGGGATCATGGGCCAGCACGCGTCTGGTCAGGAAGGTTGAGCAGAGAGGCTCTGCCAGGTGTGGCACCTGGGGACGCCTTGGCCAGCAGGGGTTGCTGGCTTATTAGGGCATAGCTGCTGTGCTTGGGTAAGGCCAGCCCTGGTTGGCAGCCTGGTGCCGGCTCAGTCACACGGAGTGGGAGTGGGCAGGGATCTCCCTGGGAGCTGGAGGGGGAGTGGGGGGCCCAGGGTCCAATCTCCTCCACCCTGGTGTCCTCGGGCTGGGGTGCAGGAGGCCCTGTGCACAGCTGGGCCCACCCTGCTGCTTACCTCATGGTGCCGAGCTTCCTTGTGGTCTCCTGTGCCCAGGCGGCAGGAGATGAGGGGGGCCCGTGGCCCTCCACAGTGCTGACTGTGCTGGCGTAGCCGGCGGGATGGGGGAAGCGGCCCAGGGCAGTGTTGTTGGCGTTGTTGATGTTGGCGTTGGAGCCAGTGGACGAGTAGCTGCTGGGGGTGAAGGTGGAGTCCACCAGCTTCTCATGGGAGGGCGACTCAGTGTCGCCTTGGTTGCTGCCCGCCTTGTTGATGTGCAGTGGGCGCTGGGTGGTGAAGGTCTGGGGGAAGGTGCTCCGGCTGTCGCTTTGGTAGTAGCTGACGTGGTTGCCGAACAGACCACCGGCCCTCTGTGGGCAAGAGGGAGCATGGGTGGAGGGAAGGCAGCCCTGGACCGCCGGCCAGAGACACGCTGCCCACAGGAAGCTTGTTTGTTCTTGACGGGCACAGGCATGGTGGGGTGGGGGTCTGGGTGCTAAGCCTCCAAGGCTGCCCTCTTGGGGGTCTGGAGGAGTAGAGGGCAGGCACCCCGCTTGTGGGAATGGGGGTCGGTGGTCGGCTCTGAGGGTGCTGGCCTTCCTGGGAGTTCTAGGGAACCCTGGGGACTGGAATTGGGTTTCCAGCGCAGGCCCAGGATGGGGTACTTCAGAGCCACAGCTGCTTGACTTGGCAGAGCCCACCATGAGAACTGAGGGCTGGGGAAAGGGACCAAAGCAAGTAGATTTCTTAAAAATGGAAATCTGCTGGCCCATAGAGCTAGAAGCTGTGCTGGCCAAACAATTTTGAAAAATAAGAATGAAGCATTTATCACATCAATTATGCCGTGACCTCTTTTCCCCTAGTGTTTTTCCCAAACATTATTTCCTTGCCCTAGGCAAGTGGGCAGGTAGCTAGTTGTAAGGGTGGTCCATCCTCACATCAGAAAATCCCGGCTTCTGCGGTTTCAGGTCTTGTCCAGGTGGGGTTAACATGGCGCAGTGTCCCCGAGGCCATTCAGTGAATATCTCATGTGATGAGGATGAGGATGAGGATGAGCATGGAGGATGGCCAGGGGCAAGATGGGCGGATCCTAGCTCCCTGTGTGTGCCATAGCCTAGGAGCTGGGCAGGGGCTTGGGCACAGGGCTGAGCCAGGCCCTGGCATGATTAGGGTTGGTAGCTGTTCCTTTGCTATAGAAGGAATTTTAGCCAAATGCCTTTGGGGTGAGGCCGGTAACACAAATGAATGAAGAGATCTGGTATTTTAGCACAGCCAAGTTTAATTTTCACGACTGCCACTGTTGGCCAGCCTCAGTCTCCGGGAGAGGAAAGAGGCCTGGAGGGAGCCCGTGACCTGGACAACACAGGCCCCGTCCTGACTGTGCAACCACCACTTGGTTCCCATCCCTGCTGCTGCACGGGAACGTACCCCAGTATGGCCAGATCTTGTGATGCTTCCCAAGAAAAGCCGGAAGTCTGGAGTTTTACTTGGACATGCCAGATGTGCAAATATTGTCCAACAAGACAGATGTGCAGATAAGATGTTTGGATCTGGTGTAGCCCAGGAGTTACCCGAAACTTCTCAGGTCAAAGTTTCTTCCAGGGAATGTTTCCCTTGGAAACATGGTGCCTCCTGCTTTTCTGAGCTGCTGTGTCCTAGGGGGGCTCCTGTGACATCGAGTCGGGCTATAGGGTGGAGGCATGAGGGGACAGCTGAGCAGATGAGCTTGGAACCTGTTGCGAGGTCAGACCTTTCCTCGTGGGTTTTCTTGGCAGGATACCGTCCACTCCCTCTTTTGCTCCAAACTGAACATGGTAAAGAAAAGCACCTACCCTGAAGATGTCATCTTCAGAGGCAGCAGACACAGCTTCCTTCATGGCCTTGTCTAGCTCTTCCTCGGCAGTCAGATCTCCAGAGATGGCTCGTCGGATTTCAGGCCCGATGTCGTGCAGTGTGCGCAAGCCAGCCTGGAACCCAGAGGGACAAAGAAGCCTCCTGGTTCTTATCACCAAACATCACAGTTAGCCATTCCCTGGCACTCTTCCACCCTGCCCTGCACCCTCTGCTTCCCTGCCAGGCAGCGGGGTCTCTAGACCAGGATGGGCTTTCTTGGAATGTCGGTTGTTACCCTAGGCTGGAAGAGTCCACTTGTCTGTCAGAGGAACGAAAGAACACTAAGGCCACCAGTGTCCTGCAGGCAGGAACATGCAGGACAGTGTGAGGGGAAATGATAAAAGAGCAAGTGGTACTTCACCCGCTCTCACATCCCTTTGCGGAAATGCTTGGAGCCCTCAGACCTGGCCTTCAGCCCCCTGGTGAGAGACGTGGACCATTGCAGGATCAGAGGAAGGTGACTAGGACCTTGCTGTGTGTGTGGCCCCTCTCCAGCTCCTCACCTGCAGGGACAGAGCGTTCCTCTGGGAGGGCTTGCCCACAAGCCCTTGCTCTTTTCGCTTCTTGAATTTCCGGAAGTACTCTTGGATCAGGAAAGTAGCGTAGAACTTGCCAACTGTGACCTCATCATCTGAGACACAGAGAGGAGAGAGGATTGGAAGGAAACAGAGCAATTCAGTTGGACTTCATTAATTCTTTTCAGCATTCAAAATTTCTTCAAGTTTTTGAATTTAATTTTTTTGGGTCAAAAAGAGAAAAATATATAAAATGGTATATACTGGAAAGTCTATCTCCCATCACATCCCATATCTGCTTAGTTGCCACCTCCTCATAGCTAACCATTTTAAAAAATTAGTTTCTTGAATATTTTTTCCAGGGATTACTAATGCAAATAATTTATGCAAATAAGCAAAATATTATCTTTTTTTTTTTTTTGCGGTACCAGGGATTGAACTCAGGACTTTAGGCTTGCAAGGCAGGTGCAGTGCCACTGAGCTAAGTCCCAGCCCTGTATTACATTTTTTAAAAGACAAGAGCTTGCCATGTTGTCCAGGCTGGTCTCAAGCAGTCCTCCTGGCTCAGCCTCCTGAGTAGCTGGGGCCACAGGCAGACTACTATACCTGGCTTCTTTTTTTATTTTTGGCTACAGGTAGCCTAGTGTCAAAAAATTATTTCCTACTTTGCTTTTTTCCCCCCGAACTGAGATTGCTAACTCTTATTTGATCCTCCTATCATGAATGGAATGCAAACATAGTTCTGTTTCGAGACTGGAGGGAGGGGTTGGTGGAAGCAACACTTTCCTCTTGTTGAAGTTTGGGTTTTTCCTTTCAACCAGGCAGAATTGGTTACTGTTCTATGTGTCCCCACTGGGCCGGGCACCAAAGGTCACACATATGATATCTCAGGCTGTGTCTCAGGCTGTATGGGGCAGTGGGCAAGCCATTCCGGAGGGGATGCCTCATTCCCATGAGCGGTCCTTTGCCTCCAGCCTCCTGTGAAGGGCACAGCTGGTTCCAGCTTAGGTCTCACAGTGAGTGATGGCTGTCTTGATCCTCGCTGTCCCTTACTGACAGCCAACTCTACAGCACTGATGGGCTCCACCTGGCAGGGCCTCGTTCGGTCCCCATGTGGGAGGAGGACCCTGGACCTTTGTCTAGGGAAGTCAGGCACAAACTCAGGGTCCTAGGCTCCCTTACACCTGGGTTTAACCCTGAGTCTACTCTACTCACCCTACAACCAAGGGGCAGCTACCTAGCTTCTAAGAGCCTCAGTTCCTTGATAAAATGTCATGAATTCAATAAACTACTGGTTATAAAACACCACTTGGCCTATTGTGGTGACTTTTAGTCTCAGTGTTGTTTTCTGTTTGGGAAATTTTTCAACAGGAGGTACCACCAATTAAAGATGGTTTGAAAATGTATGGGGTGCTTTTCCAGCTGTCAGAATGACAGCTAAAATAAATAACATATACTTATTCAATATATTTACTTAGCCCTTATTTAAAAATGACAGATCCAAAGTGTTGTCAATATTCAGCATTTTCTTACTTTCTTTAAACACAAACTTGCCTGCATTAAGGGAGTGCATGTGAGCATTATATCAGTTAATTATAAAACTTCTTGCATAGTTGTGCCTGAGCATTTAAATACCCAAGGCATTTGCTTTTGTTATATTTTGTACTAGAGTTACAGCCCTGTAGAAATACTTTGGAAATTACATGTGTAGGAAAATCACTACTATTTTCATTTGGAACCATACGACAATAGAAACCATCTGCTATAAAAAGAGGCTTTAGGCTTGGTAGAGATGAGAACACCGCTCTAGGAAGAAGGAAAAGAATTTCAAAAGAGGGCAGATCTCAGAGGATTTTCCTTTCAGGCCCCTAGGGCAGTCCTACAGCAATTAACCCAGAGGCTTATGGAGAAATCTACACTTTGTGCAGTTCCCTGGGACATTCTGTCAAACTTGTATGCACCCAAGGGCTCGCCTGCCCTGGTATGCACACAGTGCAGGATTGCAGCAGATTTCCAACCTGACAACCCATATCCAGGTTTGTGCAGGGCACTGCATCCTACGCCCTTCTAACCAGTAGGGCTTTTGAACTCCACAAGAAGGATCTGGAGAAAGCAGGCTCCTGTGAGTCTAGCAGATTCAAGAACAAGTATGTCAAGGGCTTTCTCGGTATCTCTACTAAAGTAGCCATGAAGAGAGAAGGAGGAGGAGAGAAGGCAGAGAAATCACATGAAAACCACAGCTTTAGGACTCCTGGGAGCACTTACCACCAGCAGGGGGCACCACTTGGTCCAGCAGCTTCATGCTGGTCCGCTTCCAGATCTTCTTGATGATCGCACGCAGCTCCTCGTTGGCTTGTTCTAGGTTTCCTGAGAGGTGGGAGATGCCAGACTAAGAACAATCCTGAGCCCCAGGAGTGTGCTCCCTTGGGCTGGGTGCCTCTGAATAGAGTGAGAAGTCACTTACGGGGGCCTTTGAAAAGCCATTGATGGCAGCCTTTCCCCACACATCACCCCAATTTGTCAGCTTCACTTTCTCCCTTGCTACTTTTTTCCCCAGTCTTCCTATTTTCCAGCTCCTTTCTCGTTCCCCTCCCCGCCCTCTCCATTTTCCTTCTTTGCTCTTTCTCTCTCGTGTCTGTCTGATGCCACCATTTTCCCTTTCTCCCCACATGTCACTCAGGCCAGCCCTGGTGTCCCTTTCCCCCACCACTTTATGTTTTTCCTCCTGGAGTCACTTGGAGCTGAAGAGCCCGCTGGTGCCTGGACAGAGTGCAGCCCTGCCGCAGCCACTCGCGGAGCCCAGCATGCAGAACCCTGCCGGGAGAGGCGTGAGGCTGCTTTCCATGGGTGGTGCTTCTTATGGATCTCCCCGGGCGGCTGCAGGACACGGGGGATTGGAGGGAAGGACAGCCGCTATCCCGGTCAGTGTGTCTGTGTCTATGAGACCCTGCCCCTGAGTCTCCCACAGGGACAGGATGGCAAAACCTAACGGCAAAAGCAGCAATCAGAAGATGCTGGGTTCTGTAGCTCTGGATTTTCTTTGGATTTACTTTCTCCACTCTTAAAACAAACAATTAGATGTCTGTGCCACACCGCCTCTGGGACATTGACCTTATGGTGGTAGAAAAGAAAAGCTGAGGCCTGCAGCTGTAAGAGGATGGGAATGTTCTAGGATGCTTCCAAGATGCTTGGCCCCCACTCACCCTGCATAATCCCTGGGACTGGGAGTGTGGGGGATTTTACTCCTGGGATTAGGTCATACGGCACCTCTGACCTTAAGACAGGGAGATGATCTCAGTGGGCTTGACCTAACTAATCACATGAGCCCTTTCAAGTCCAGAGTTCTCACCAGCTGGGAGCAGAAGAGAAGATGGGAGAGGTGGACCCTGGCTGGTCTGGAAGAATGCAAACACCCATGCTGTGAGAAGCAGTCTCTGGGAGTGGTCTCCAGCCGATAGCTAGCAGGGAAATGAAGACTGTGGACACACAATGTTAGGAAATGAATTTTGCCCACAACCTGAGTGAGCCTGGAGGTGGTATTTTCCTCAGAGCCTGGAGCAGGGAACACAGCCTGATCAGTATCCTGATTTTGATCTTGTGAGACCCTCGGCATAGAACACAGTTGCTCTGTGGCTGGACTTATGCCCTACAGACTGCTGAGCTCCTAACGATGTGTTGTTTGCAGCTGGAAAGTCTGTAGTGATTTATTATGCAGCAATGGGAAAGCAATGATATTCACTGGCAATACATAAGGCACCAGGGGACATGGCAGAGAGTTCTGCTCAGATGGCATGCATTCAGATGCAGCTCTGAGGCCACACAGAACAGCCAGCAGAGGAGGTGGCAGTGGAGAAAGAACAATGAGCCCGAGTTCTTTGTCTGAACATCAGATTCAAACAGTAGCTGAAGCCAGAGGGCCACACGTGGGCATTGCAATGGAGGCCATCAAGCCCTATCACAGCGAAGGAGTTAGCGGTTCTGACACATGCAGTGCAAGAGGCCTAACACAAATCATGTTGAAATAAACTTTTTTGTATGGGGCTACACAGAATCCCCACAAAATTCACGTGCCCTTGGAACTGTGGAATGTGAACTTAGAAGAAAGTAGGATTACAATTTAAGATGAGGCCACACTGGATTAGGTGGGCCCTGAATTGGATGTGACTGGTCTCCCCAGAAAAAGAGCAGAGGACAGACAGGGAAGGCCACGTGAAGAGGGAAACAGAGGTTGGAGTGCTGCGGCTATGAGCCAATGACTGGAAGCAAATAGCGGCCAAGCACTAGAAGCTTGGAGGGAGGCATGGGGCAGATCCTGCAGCCTGCAGAAGGCGCCAACCCTGCCTTTGGATTTCTAGTCTCTCAAGCCAAGAAAGTTACAAGAGTAAACTGTTTTAAGCCACCTAGTCTGTGATCATTTGTTATAGCGATGTAGGAAACAAATATATCTTTTGAAAAAGTCTTTCATATTTTTTTCAGGCCTTTATTAATTCTCATAATGATCTGTGCACTGTATATTTTGTAGCTTTTTCAGGCCTCTGTTTATTCTCATAATAATCTATGCAACTGAGGATTTCCTCCTTTCTGGGCTTTCATTTATTCTTATAATGATTTATGTAACTGTGGCTTTCATCTTTTTTCAGGCTTTCATTTATTCTCCTAATGTTCTATGCAACTGTGGATTTCCTATTTTGGGGGGTGACTTCATTCTCCTAATGAGATCATGAAACTGTGAATTTTGCCTTTTGGGGGCCTTCATTTATTCTTACAATGACCTATGTAACTGTGGATTTCATATTATTTGGGGGCCTTTGTTTATTCTCATAATGATCTGTGTGACTATGGAACTTCATTTGCACATCATCTGGGTACTAAAGAATCTTCCTTCTGCTTTCCAACAGCAGAGCTGTTTGCTTCGTACTGGATGGGGGTGGGAATTCTCATTCTCTAAGTAGGGGTTGATTTCTCCCTAATTCCTCCCACTCACCAAGCCTAGGGTCAAGGGCTGATCTAAGCCCTCTCCTCACAAATCTGAATGTTTCCTCTTCTGTCTTTCCAGTTGCTTCTGAGCACATGCCTTATCTCCCAGTCTTAGAATTTTAACAAGTTCTTGAGGGTCTGTGTGTGCTCAAGGTTCACCCTTGAGTCGGGCATTATAGGCTCTCTGGTGGCTTTTCTGCAATGTCATTGTATTTAAAGAGATTTTAATTCTTGACTGTAGTTCCCAGTGGGTGGCTTCTCCCTTTTCTCTGGACTCCCCATTTCCTCAAGATTGGCTATCAGTCACTGAGTAATTTGGTGAGTCCCCTTTGTTTGTTTGCTTGTTTTTGCAGTGCTGGAGAGGGGACTTTGAGCTTGTGCATGCTAGGCAAGCACTCTGCCATTGAGCTCTCCCAAGTCCTGGCCAGCCCCTTTGCATGGCTGTCAGCTATCAGTATTATTTTGTTTGTCCCAACAAACAAAAACCAGTGTGTCTTCTTCATTGCCAACTCTTGGCTTCTGTGCATTTTTGTTCCTATGGCACCAGAATTTACACAATTTATATCAAGCTGTAAGTATTACAGCATGTTCCTTCCAGCAGTTGTTATATCTTCTCTCCTTGGAAAAGAAAACCTTTTCCCCTAAACACAAATAAAATAATATTCATGGTAGAAAATCTGGAATGTAACAAAACTGGAGGAAGAAGATCTAAGTCACTGCTGATTCTACTAGTCAGTGATGTTCAATGTTAACATATTAACAAAATTCCTTCTAATTTTCTTCTATGTATTGTAAACACACATGCATTAAATGTGCATCTAATTCTTTTGGTTGTCAGAAATAGGCCTATTCACACCCATTTTCCATTGACTGTTGCCTTGGTTTCTGATGATATTTTTTCTTAGCCTTTGCTGTCTTTTTAACTTAACAGCAGAACTTGACCTATTATTACTATTTTTTAATAGCTTGTTATTGGAACATGTATCTTACTGGCCTGGGTTTTGTTTCTCTTCAAATACTTCTGCTCTTCTCTGGAAGGATTTCACTGAAAGATGGCCCCTGTCTGGGTTATTCATGAACTAAATTCCTAGATGTCATTACCTTTTTAAATTTTACAAATGAAGAAACTGCAGTAAGAGAGAATAAAGGCCTTGCACTCGTGTTATTAGTGAGAGCTGGCAGCATTGCAAACCTCCTAAGCAGCAAACATGGCTGGAGCCTGGGGCTCTGAGGCTGAAGTGTAACAAGGGGAAAGAGAACGTACTGCTCATCTGTTCCGTTTTCTGCAATTACTGTACGAGTGGGTGTCAAACTCTGCTTCACCTGAGTCATCAATGCAGCTGGGTCAAAATGCCGATTCCTGGGCTGCACCCTCAGACATTCAGATTCAGAGACGTGGGCTCTGGACTCAGGCTTTTGAACAAGCCCTGGCAGCAGATGCTGTCTCTAAGAAACACTGTAACAGGCGAGGAGCAGCAGTATCTTCTCAGGTGCACTTCATACAGCCTTTTCCGGATTGGCTCAGGGACGCTTGCCAATCATAAGGGCAGTAGGTGACCACCCACAGGAACCTTCCTGCAAACCAGAAGGGCCCCTCTGCTGGCAGTGCCAGGAGTAGTGCAGTACTGGAGGACCTCAGCCCCTTCCTGCTGGACGGCCAAGCATCTTGTGGCAGGCGTGGCCTGCATAATCACATGTGAGGACCTTTACCCTCATCTCCACTTGTCACAAAAGTCCCTTTCCCAACGCAGGATCTTTTAGTTTTAAAGGGGAGCCGAGCATTTGAGAGCCGCCTCCCCACCCCCTACTGTAGCCAGTACAAATCCCTGAGTTGGGGCTTAGTTCTAGAAGCTCAAGTTAACAGCCAGCCCATTTTGTATTTTGAGATATACCCTAAGACTTCAAAATATCACTCAGAATGATTTCTTGAGTTTGATGGAAAGAAAAAGTTCAAAATCACTGAGCGAGAGGCAAGGAGGCTGGCTCAGATGGAAAGAAAACACGAGCAGGCCAGGCTTCCATCAGGCCGAGAGAGCCGCCTGGGAAGGTCCCAGGGGCGATTTGTAGGTTGCTGAATTTTCTGGCTGGACTGCTAGACTTTCTGATTGACTCTCCCCGTGGTCCGAGGATGGCCCTTACCTTCCGTTTTGATCCTCAGGGCTGTCCTGACCAGGGCAAACAGAGTGGCATTGAACATGACTGTCCCATCACTGTTCAGAGGCATGTTCATGGAGACGAGGCGCTGGAGGGGAAGGAAACAAAGCCAGTGATTAAGGCAGGTGGTTATGCAGAGCTGCCAAGGCAGGGGTGCTGGGAGGGCACCTGGCAACCTGCGTGGGGGCTGCTGGGAGTGAGGCACAAGTCACTGGGATGTATTCAAAACCTCAGGAGCATCTGGGCTTTGCCTAACTATTCTCACCCCCTCCCCACGGAGGAGAGATGGAATTTGTCCTCCTTGGACAAGCTCTCTACTGGCAGCACAAACTGCACACCCAGGCATTTTCTGGGTGCCACTTGCCAGATGGAATCCATCCAAATCCCAGAGGAGGGATGCAACTGGAGGCTTGCTTGCAGATGGTACAGCACACCTTTGTGTGCACTGAAAAATTTACCTCTGGATCAAGCTGGATTAGAGACTTCTCTTCTGTCTCTCTCTCACAATGTGCTTCAAGGTTCTGGGCCCTGTTGGGAGCCATCTGTACCCACTGGGGTCACCAAGTGAAAGGGTAGCATGATGTTCGTATGGAGTCCCCTCTAAGGATGTGGCCAAGGATGTCATTCCTCAGATCACACGGGGTCCTCCTCTAGTCTATGCTAAGAAGGGCTGTACTGTTCCCTGGTCCCAGGATCTTGTGAGTCTCATGGATAGTGTGGACTGGCAAGCTCACAGCCTAGCACTCCGCTCCCACCTCGTTTCCTATTGTGCTTTTAGCTTACATTTGATTAAAGCTTGTTAGGGTTTGGCTGTGAAAGGCCCCCCAGGGCATATATGGTAAAGGCTCAGTCCCCAGATTGTGCCCTGCTGGGAGGTGCTGGAAGGTTTAGGCAGTGGGGCCTAGTGAGAGGAAGGTTACCTGGGGTGACCTCTGAAAGGGAGAGTGGGAATCCAGCCCCTTCCTGTTGTTCTCTTTGCTCCCTGGCTGCCATGAGGTGAACAGACCTCCTCTGTCACACTCTCCTGCATGGTGTGCTGTGCCGCCACAGGCCCAAAGCCATGGGGCCCAGAGACCACAGACTGAAACCTCTGAAACCATGAGCGGAAATAAATTTTTCTTTCTCATAAGTGAATTCTCTTGGATATTTTGTCACAGAAGTGGTGAGCTGACTAAAGAGGGCTCTTTCTTCCCTCCTGTTTTCTGTATTCTTAGAAGTCTCCTAAAATCTTAAAATAAATAAATAAAATGGAGCTAAAAATGAAAAAAACCCAGAGTAAAATAGAGCATAAATAAAAGATCCTATAGTCCCTCAAGTTTTTATTTTCCATGAATGGATTGCACACAGCTGAATCTCTTCTTCCTTTAAACAGTTCTCTGGCCTCACTCCCCCCATATCCTCCTCAGGTCACTGCTGTTTCAGCAGGGAGTTCAGAATGGTGGGAAAGGGGTGGCCCAGGACCTGGAAGAGTGTGGGAGTGATGCCCCTCAGTAACTGCTGCAACAGGGCTGGGCACAGAGAAGTGCGAGGGGCGCTGGGCTCACAGATCGGGGTCACCGTCAGGGTCACACAGGAGTTGTGTCTAACAGAACCTAGCGTGTTTGTCTTAACCTACCGAGGGTCATAGACTCATTAAGGAATCTAATGAAAGTGACAGATCCTCTCTCATGAGTGTTTAGTGATTTGCAAAATCACAATTTTAGGACTTCCATGATGCCTGAAGCCAATGAGTGGCCTCTCAAAGGCCCCCGGTTCCAGATCATCTACCCCAGGCTAGGAGGTCTGCTGGGACCCCGGGGTGGTGCGGCCTGACGGGCTGAACAAATCCTTTATTCAGACACTGCACGAGGCTCACTGGGACGCGACGCTTTCACCTGTTGTTCGCTCACAGAGCCCGAGAACTTAGATCCAGAGGGACCCTTACAATGTGATCTGGCCCGGGGTCATTTCTGTAGGTTCATCAATGTTTTCTTTACTTCCTTAAGGGATCGCAGGCCTGACCAAGGTCACAAGACAAAAGTGCCTCCTGCCTCCTGCCTCCTGCCTCCTGTGTTTTCTCTTCCTCCCACGAACCCAGGTCGTCTCTTACTTTGCAGGCCACACGGTGAGGACACAGCTTCCCAAAGCCCAGAGGAGGCTGAATCCGTCGGAGGAGGGTCACCACATCCAGGTGTTTGATACGACCCCTAGAGGGGAGGGAGAGGAGGGGAAGGGCAGTCAGAGCCAGCAGCCCTGGCCTGGGGTCTGGGAGGTGGGGCCACAGATATACGGGACTCAACATGGTCCAGCCCTGCTGGTCAAACTGGTGCAGACTGCAGCATTGTGTAGCAAAACTTCAACCCCCCCCTCCCCCGCCACACACACCGGGCTTCAGATGAATGATTTTCTGTCAGTGCTATGTGCAAGTTGGAAGGGATTTTAGTAGTGCAATTAAATTCTCAACCTGTACTTGCTGCTTGGATCAACTAATCATCTGACCAAAAGGCATGGGTGTCAATCAGAGGTGATCAATAAATGAGGGGATCCTCACACCTGAGGCCCTAAATAGCCTCTGTACATACAGTAGGATCTCCTGTGCTTCCGTTTAACTGATGCTGCTCTTAGTCAAAGGCCCCTGGCCTCCTCTTGCTGGCCTTGGCCCTTCGCCCTGGAGTCTGGTGCACATGGTTCCATGTTTCGGGCTGCTCTACCCAAGTTGACCTGTCCTGGACCTCTGCTAAAGGTAAGGTCACTCCATTCCCTCTCTCAGCCCAGAGAATCGGATTTCCCTGTAGGACTTACTTGGCTTCGGGGTCATATTCTGCCCAGATTCTTTTAAATTCATCTAGATGGTGGGGACCAAGGATTGACCAGTCTCTCGTCAGGTAGTCAAAGTTGTCCATGATGACGGCTACAAAGAGGTTGATGATCTGCAGGGAACAGTTCGTACAATGAGGAGCTTCCACACCCTTGTCATCTGAGCCCACCTTGCCTGCCACAGTGTCTAGCCACAGCAGAGGCCAATATTTCTAAATACTAGCAGCACATTAGCCTTTAGAACACAGGCCCTAGAATTTGGGTCTCTTGGATGTGAACCTGCCGCTGCTGCCCTGAGCGTTGTGTGGGATAAACCCCACCTATAGGCCACACAGCTTCCCTCGACTGGGCTGTCAGGGACAGAGGTGGCTTTGTCTGTCACATTTCCCTCACCTCTGTAAGGTGCCAAAAACACGTAAGTTCCCACTAGGCTTCCACACAGCCCCTTTGCGCTCCGGGACACACCACCATGACAAGAGCCAAGAACGGACAGTAAGGAGGCTGACTGAGCTTGTGGGCCCAGTGTGGCTGGATACTCCCACTAAGTCTTCCTAAGCCACCCCCACCCCAGCGGGATAGCCCGACCCTGAGCTGCAGAGACCAGGGGCTCGGGCTGCCCTGAAACTGCGCACACCTGCCCCGTGCCATTAAGCCCCACTGCCACTTACCAGGAAGGCACAGAGCATGTAGAAGCTGATGAAATAGAAGACAGCAAAGCTGCTGCCGCAGGGCGTCTCTCCTTCCGTGCTATTGCTGGGCTCGGACTCTGGGGCGCATTTCTTGCCTGGCATGCAGGCCAGCATGATGTCCTGCCAGGCCTCCCCTGTGGCACACCTGAAGCAGAGAGACGAGACAACCCCACACCCATGCAGCCAGACTCACATGTGTTAAAGCCCCCTTGGCATTCTTCCCCCGAAAGAATGACTAAAGTGAATTTGGTAGTCGGCACCCTCTGAATGCTCAGATAGGTTCACTAAATACGCAAATGTGTAGTGTTACTTGAGATGCTCTGGAACTTTACAGAAACAGTAATCGATTGTATCCCCTCTGAGAACTTGCTCTAGTTTTCATTTTAACTGTGATACAGGAGTTCACTCTATGAATATGCCATTAAAATCATTCATCCTCTTGCTAAGAGACATTTAGGGTTTTCAGTTGTTTTTCACCATTAGGATTAACCCAGCAATAAGCACGCAGCCCCAGTGTGGGTATCAGCTTGGAAGTGGAGTTGCCAGGTGAAGGCCGTGTGTCTTCATCCTTATGAGGCAGAGCCTGCACCCCAAGCTCCTGTCCGATCGGGCCTGCTATGGTGGTGGTGGGAAGGGTGTCATCACTTTACAGTCTCCTCAGCTCCTGGTCCTAGTGAATCCTAAGGAATGTTGCTCATCTCATGGGTTCGAAGTGATATTTCATTGCTGTTTTGGTTTGGTTTAAAAATGATTAGTGGCTTGAGAATTTTGATTTTATCTTCGGTCAAACAGTATATTCATATTTTTGTTTGTTGACGCATGGATTATTTGTCTTGTGTTCATTTGTAGGGTCTTTTATATTTTTTCTTGTTACTCCTTTGTAATATGCATTACAAGTATTTGTTTCCAGGCTGTGGCTTGTCTCTAGCTTTATTTATGGTATATTTTGTTGAATCTGAGTTTTAAATTGGAATGTGGTCAAGTTTATAATTTTTTTTACTTTATATTTTGTGCTTTTTGCATCTCATTTTTAAAATCCTCCCCTATTCTAGAACATTAAGTTAATCTCCACTATGTTCTTCCAAAGCTTCTAAAATTTTGCTTCTCACAATAATTCATTAACCTGAAATCTGGGTATGAGATAGAAGTGTGCTTGTTTGTATCTTTTTCTGTAAAGATAAACAACCTTTTCCTGTTTATTAAATAGTACCTCTTTCCCTACTAGTTTGAAATATCTCTTCTGACATCAATTATGTTTCTGCAGATGTGTAGGTCTTGTGTTAGACTTTTCATTTTCTTCTGTAGATTTATTTGCCCATCTTGGTACCAGCTGCTGCATGGTCCTAATTCCTGTAGTTTATAATAGGTCTTGCTCTCTCATAGAGAGTGAGTTCTAGCTTTAGTTCTTCAGCATTTGTCTTGACTATTCATTTTCTTTTTCTATTCACAAACAAGTTAGAATCAGTGTGTGAAGTCTTATGAATAATCCTGTTGAAAGTCCTATTGGAATTACATTGAAACATACTTTAACTTGGGGAATCTTGATGTATTTAGGATAAAATCTTCCAGCTGTGGACATGGTACATCTATCCATTTATTTAGGCCTTATTCAGTGTTGTCAATAAAATTTTATAATTTTCCCAGACACCTTTTGTTGCATTATTTCTTAGTATTTTCTTGATCTCATTGTATATTTAAAATGGTACAGTCTGCTGGACTCAGTGGCGTGTGCCTGTAGTCCCAGCTACTCGGGAGGCTGAGGCAGGAGGACTGACTGAGTTCCAGGAGTTTGGGGCCAGCCTTGGTAATATATCAAGACCCCATCTCAAAATCAAAAAGGTATAGCTTAAAGTCATACCAGCTTGCTATAATGTAGAAGAGTTGATATTATATACAGATTTGCTGAATTCTTTTCTTAGTTTCAGCAACTTACCTGTGTGTTTTTTTTTTTTTTGTCTATTTTACATAGGCAACCAATTTTTTGACTTTTTTTTTTCTGCTTAGACTCTTATCCTTTCAGTTATTTTTCTTATTACATTGGATAAAGCTTGCAATATAGTGTAGGCTAGAAACAGTGAAAAGAGCCTGTCCATTACATTGACCAATAAGTTATTACAAGAGTCTTTCTTTTTCTTTGTTATTCTCCCCCCTTACCAACGCTATCTATTGTTACATGGATTTTAGTTGAGCTGCTTGAATTTTCTACTTGTACTAGCTTGTTGTCCTCAGACAATGACAGCTATGTCTACACATTTTCATTTTATAACTTCTCGCTTTTCTCTCCTTTCCTTATTGGTATTAGCTTTATGTTTATCTTCTGGGATGAGCAGAGAACTTACCCACTGCTTTCTGTTCCTAACAAGTTTACAGAATATATGAATGACTGATGCTTCGATAGTTTGGTAGACCTCACAAATAAAAATATTAGATCTTGGGCCTTTTTTTGTTGTTTGTTTTGAGACAAGGTCTCACTATGTAGCCCAAGCTGGCCTCAAACTTGTGGTGATCCTCCTGGCTCAGCCTCAGGAGTGCTGGGATTATAGATGTGGGCCACAATGCCCAGTGGCCCACATCTTTTTGATGGGCCTTTTTGAAGGCTAAAATTTTGATTAGCTTTTCAATTTCTATTTATTCTATTTATTTATTCATCTATCTATTTATTTAGAGCATTTTCAATTTTACAGTGGCTCCAACCAACACCTTACTGAAGGTTGCTTTTCCTGAGTAAACTTGAAGTAAATGGCTACTTTTTTAAAAATTAGGACAGTGCAGATTTGCAGTACATAATGATTACATTTATTCTGGGGAGTTGTGCATGTACATGATACATCTTAATTCTTTTTTGTTTCCTTCCCTTCCTGTCCCTCCCTGCTCCCTCCAACGCTTGTTCCCCTTCCCAATTGAAAAAGATGTCCCTACTTCCTATTATCTACCCTTTATTTATATTTTGGGTTTCTCACAGAAGAGAAACATGCAACATTTAAACCGTGTGCCTGATTTATTTCATTTAACATTAAAGTCTTGAGGTGTTGAATCTGTGGCAGTCCAGAAAAGTATTTTACATCTATGAAAATGTAAATAAATATTTGTATTTGAGAAAGTTTTATTTTATTTCTAGTCCATTCATTTAGGGTTTTTTTTCATTTGTTTTTATCGATTCTAAGATGAACGGGTTTCATTTTGGCAGATTTATACATACACGAAACACAATTGATCATTTGCATTCTCCGTAATTCCCCTTGCTCCTCCTTCCCTTCCAGTTTCACAGTTCTTTTGGGGGGTTCAATGTGTATAATATATTTTGCTCACATCTGTCCCCACTATTACCCGTGCTTATACTTCTCACCTCCTTTGTATTCCCTTCCTCTTGTCTAAGGATAGTCTTCCATCTACTTTCTCATCATCGTTCTGAGCCTGGCTTATCTCTCTCAACATGGTGGTCTGCAGATCCATCCATTTTCTTGCAAATGACAGAATTTCATTCTTTCTTATGGCTGAATAATACCCGCATTGTGTGTATATATCACATAAGTGAGTATTTTGTTTCCTAAATTTATATTTTCTTCATTTATCAATGCCTCTTTAGTTAACGAGTTTTAACATTTTCCTTCTTAATACAGTTTTTATGATTCATATTTTCCTGTATAAAAGTATCTACTTCATTTAGATTTTCAAATATATTGACATAAATTGCTCATAATTCTCTTGTTTTTTAAAAATCTTTTTATTACTTATGGTCTGGTCCTATTTGTTACTCTTAGGAAATCTTAGTTTTGACTGGACCCAGTCTTAGAGACAGACAGTCTTGGGGAAGACAGCTCCATCTCTTGGCAATCTGTTCCTCACAGTTTTTCTTGGCCTCCTTCATTCCCTTGGCCCAAAGTCCAGTATATTTTGGCCTCTTGTTTATTTTTCTCAGTATGCTGTTTCTTCAAGGCAATACTCCAGTGTCTGTGCATTAGGACACATGAGTAGCAAGATGCCAAATTGTGGGTACCTTGGTACTAGATTTCTTACAGTTTCTGTTCAGGGGTTTGCTATAGTTTAGATCTGGAGTTTCTTTCAAAGGCCATGTATTGAAGGCTCGGTTCTTAGCCTGTGGTGCTACCGGGAGGTGATCAGAGCTTTAGGAGCTTAGGCCTTAGTGGAAGGGAGTTAGGTCACTGGACGTGTGCTCTTGAATGGGGTATTGGAACCCAGCCTCTTCCTTGCTTTCTTTGGTTCTTAGCTGCCATGATATGAGCAGTTCTCCACCTCCATATGCTGTTGCCATGAAGCAATACAGCCAAGCAGCCATGGACTGAAACCTTTGAAACTGTGAGCCAAAATAAATCTTTTTTTCTTATGAGCTGATTTTCTCAATATTTTGTTACAGTGATAGAAACCTAACGAACACAGGCTTTCTCACAACATACTAGTGGACACCATGTTCTTTAGAGATATTGAGAAGTTTGTGGATCCTGCTAGCTCTTTGGGATCCAGGTAGTGAAACACAGTAGCATCAGTCAGTTCAGGAGAATCCTTCTCCCTGTTTTTCACAGTAACCAGAGAGAGGACATTCAGATCCACAATGCAACCCCGCGTAGATTGGTTCCTGCTTCTCTCCAGTTCTCATTGGTCTGTAACAGAAAGGTGCAGGTGCACAGAGCCACACTTCACGGGAAACCTTGTTTGTCATTCCCACCAGGATTCAGGTCACAGAACCCTTCCATCTCTCACCCAGATGTCCAGCAACTTCTGTGGCCATCTACTTCTCATAAAAGGGACAAAGTTTGTGCTACTTTTCTACTTCAATGAGTATCTGGTGGCTAGTTGCTGGAATGCTGTTCCGCTTCACCTTGAGGTGACTGATCACCTCCAAGAGGGCACAAAAAAGAGACATAAAGCTCTCTTGGGATTGTAACAGTCATTTTCTCAACCATAATTATGTTGACGTCGGTATACCTGATATTGTTGTGTCTTTTCAAAAGCTGGATTTGATAAAAGTTTATTTCAAAGAATCAGCTTTAGGGCTTTTTTTTTAGGGCTTTTGTTTTTATGAGTGCAGTTTTTCATACTTTGGGGCTATTTTGTTATTCTTATGCCATCTATTAGCTTATTTTATATTTACATATGGGTATATACTATAAATGTTTAAATTTTAAA